ATCAAGTCACTCTGCGTTATCAAGAATTGCCCACTTTTCCCATAGTTCTCCTTAAGCTAACGTGAGGACACAAACTAGCGTCCTCCCGTCACCCTAGGCTCAGCTGCTGCTCGCGGTATACTAAGACGCAGTAGCTGAAGCGGATCCCGACAATTGTGCCGGGATCCGCCCAGCTGCGTGACTGACAGCTGGCTCTGCCTATCTAAAGGCAGAGCCAGCTGTACCCTCCCCCGTCTGTTCCGCCAGTCAGTGCTGGCGGATCGGGGAGGGGAGAATCCAGCCCCTCCCCTGTCTCTTAAAGGACAACTATGGGGTTAAGGCTTTTCCTACCAGGATCGAGAAGTGAGCGAACGCCGGTATGTGTTCGCTCACCTCCCGATCTACTGAGCGGACCTGTGACAGTCTCATTGTCACAGGTCGGCTAGAACTATGAGGTGAGTGAAAAGCACTCACCTCATAGTTCTCCTTTAAGACATTTGGAAAAGTTAAGTAAAAAATAAAGTCTGTCCTGGTTTTTGCTTGTTGTGCTGCTTCATAAGAATTGCTCCTGACCTTATAACTGATCACAAGTTTTGTAACTAATAAATGGTAGTTTGATTACTTGGGTTTCAGGGACCTATGATAATTGCTGATAATTTCACAGTGCATCAATTTAGAGCTTTTTTCCAGTCTCAGTTTCTGCTGTTCGTCTACTAAATGGTGTAAAATGTTAACAGACTTCGTGTTGGTAGTGGAGCTCCTTATTCCGAACTTTTTCCAGCTGCATGCAAAGGGTGATTTAAACCGATCTCCCTTTTCATATTGGTTAGACTACACACACTTTGGAAAGCCTGTCTCTTTCAAAATGTGAAAATCAGAACGCCACCATTAAACCTGCTCTGTGAGGTGTTCTGAGCTTGCAGAGCTTCCTATACTATGGTTTACTTCATGGCTCTGTAATGTTCATATGGACTGATAGAGTAAACAAGCTGTGTTTTTTTGTGCTGCTATGGGATGCTGCTGTGCCCTTCTCACAAATTCCTTTAGTTTCACAGCAAGTTTATGATTGTTGAGTGGAAAAAACTGTAATTTTCTTTTAAGTGACTGCTTGAAAGGCACTTAGGAGTAATAATTGATTTTAGCATTCATGTGAAAGTGATATAACCAACAGGTCACATTACACAATGATCACAGGTTACTACATTAATGGCATTGGTCAATCAGCAAGCCAATTCTAATTGGCTATATTAAATGTAATCGCTGTTTAAGTTCTTCTCAGGACATATAGTTACAGAGTGCTGGTCAGAGGCTTAAAGCCAGTTTCATCTTACCGTGCTGCATAATTGATGGTAATTAACTTTCATGCTACACAAATATCCTTTAATCATGTGGAATTTTTATTACTCTGCGGACAGATCTGTAGATTTAGATAAGTTAATGTTCCAAAGCCCATTACTTTGTAGTAAATCTGCTCAATTGATGATCTAAGCAGAAAACCAGATCATGCTCGAATCAATTTGTTTGCAAAGAGGCTGCTCAGACAGGCCTAGACTTTATAATATTTGCCAATTCAAAAGACACAAAAGAGCAAACGAAGATTGGTTTGTCCAGTACTAAGTAGTTAGACGAGCACTACTTTTATTTCTATAGAAACCTATGCAAAGACACTTGATACCTGACTAAAATGATAACAAAGGTCATCCTGAAATGGGCAAATTTCTCGTCAGTTTTCTCTTCATATTAACTACGACTTTACACCCAAAGTACCTTAAATCTTTTCCTCCATGTTAAGAGATTTTTTTGTATGCACGTGCTTAGTACTTTCTGTGAGGAAAAAAAAAGTTGGGCTCCTTAATTGTCATGGGTTTGTACAGAACCCTCAAGGAAACACTGCCCTAAAGGTAAACTACATGGGAGGGATGTTGCTGCTTTTTCTTTTAGTACTGTTCACATTGACCTTGGCCTTTTCAGAGAGGAGTAGAAAAAATAAATGGTTGGATTGCCTTTGCCTGTCATTTTATACGCTTTCTTTATGTAAGAAATTGATCTTGTGGGTTTTCTAAACCGGTCAGCCTTAAATGGCAGGCACTGAAGAATGGTTGATGAAACATCCATTGAGTCGTGATTTGAAAGGTTGTTGACTGACGTGGTTTCAGCCATCTTTGTCTAATGGTATTTTTTGAAGCTCCCCAACAGAAAGCGAGTTTATGTACGTTCACCTGCCTAGATTTATTCACCTTTGCCAGCTCTTTGCCCTACAGCAACACAGTGGCTGTACGTTATATACCTTATAACTACAGAAAATATTGTGGTAACCATATCTTTCTCTATAATTATGTCTTAAAATTGAAAGTTTGGAATTTGTTTTTTCTTTTGCTTCTCAATTTCCATAAGGGGCCCATGTTATCTTGAATAACTTTCTATAACAAGTTGGGCATCTATTTTTCTGACAGTACTGTAGTTTTATCTAGATCGTTGACATTTTTTTAGCCTATAGCTCATGTACTCAGAGGTGGGGGTTATAGCAGAAGGGGCATTTTTACACACCGTATTGATAATAAATATTTCTTAGTCAAGGAGTACTTGAAATATAAAGTGATGCATGCCAGGAATATACATGGTAAGCACTAGCTTCTAAAGGATGCATTATTTTTAAAAAGGTGGCTGTTTTTATGTTGTTTTTGACCAAATGAATTTATTCCCTTGATGTCAGATTTAATTCCCTGATGACAGCCCAATGCTGTATACATTTATAAAGGACATTAGAGTGGTTACTGATGTTGCCAACTGTGCATGTTGTTCTATGTTTCACCAAATGAGGCATAACATAGGGTAAAGAATTGGACCAGGTACAATGTGAATTGTGTGAACAATGAAAACCTCAACTGAGGAACGATGAGATGGAGCAAGAGATGAATATAGCATAGGGCAGGCTAGACACCTCTACAGAGCTTGGTAACCAGGATTCATGAAAAACATTATAGCCAATGGTCCTTTTTTTTTTTCTTCTTCTTTTTTGTTAAGGCAATTTCAAAAATCATCAAAAGTTTGTTTTCTGGTTTCTTATAGAATACTGGTTAGTGTTCCTCTTACCTGGCTGCAGCTTAGGCTCCCATCTAGTGCTAGAGGTTGCCGTTGCATGCCTCTTTCTCTCTGGGACAGATCAGTCAAGATGCATGATACTGTAGAGCAGTGCTACATATCTTAACTAGGTCCACTTCCATGAGTTGGTAGACAGTATCCTTGGCTGTGAAATATTACAACCATCCTAATAGGTTATCTTTTAAAACTACCGCTGACTACTACATTGACATGTTGAGTTTTATGCTTTCATTATTAGCTATTGAATACATATCTTAAAGAACAAAAATTCTTGCAAAATTGTGATTTAAATTGTTCCATGTGTATGTTTTAAAACATCATCTTTTTGACCTGCTGAATATGTGTTACGATTACATCTAAAAGATGTAATTACATATTTACAAAATTACAAATAAGATTTAGTGTATATACTACCTGCTGCTGTTTTCCTCCGTCAGAATTGGCATAGACAAGCAAATGTCTCACTGCAAGTGTCAGGCAATGAGACACCTGCCTGACTTCACTTTCATCACTATAGCACTGGGACCCTTAGCGATCTTATTCCCAACTCTTCTGACGTGTGGAGGTAGCAAAAGCTTTGTTCTTTTTTCACCATAGAGGAGGAAGCAAGCCGATGCTAGTTTTACAGGAATTAACATGTAAACAAATCTGTTGCGTAATGAGCATTTCTGACATTTAGAAGAACTCATTAACCTCTAGATATTCCTGTAGCCTCTCATTGCATATGATGCTTGAATCAATTGAACTGCTTGAACTATTGAAATTTGTATGGAAAGCATATAACCCAAGTGAGAAAACCCCTCTATATGTTTATATGTTCACAAATCATAATTTAAGCATTAAATATTTCTCACCTTTTTAGATGTTTGGTCGCAGCAGTCAAAATGGCTGACTGCAAGTTTTTCTGAGCACTGCCAGTGATCTGTTCTAATAGAAAGGCTTATAACTGAAATTTGAGGATTGTGTACTTTATTTACTAACGTATAATGCAGAAGCCAGGCTTTTAATCCTTTGTTAGGACAGGCAGTGTTCAAATCTACTGTACACATTATAAGGAACAAACCCCTTGCAATCCCTCCTAACTTTACAAAGAAGGAGGAGCAAGTAGAAATGTTAACCCCTAGGAAGCTCAGAAACCCTAACTCAACTAAAAGCAATTTAAACTGCATTTTTAAATTTTTGTTTAGCTTATGTGATGTGCATGGGATCAAATATAAAATGTGTTTTCCCAATTTGTTATCTCAACTTTCTGGAAATACACTTTAAGTTATAACTATAATGCAGTTGGGCTGCATATAAAGTAATCCGTATTCCTCTGTTTTATTATTTGTATGTGGAAAGTGCTGTAGCAAGGGTTAAAACCCCCGTGCTGCCAGCACTAGCAAAGTAGGATTATACAAAAGCAGCAGTCAAGCTATCCGACAACCCTAAGACTGCTCAAATCGACAGCTTTGCTCAGGAAGCGAGGACTATGTTGAATAGAGCAGTGTTCAGTGGGCTACTTTGGACCGCAGGAGAGCTTGTGTGAGTGCTGTGGTCTGATTCTCTTATGTGCTAGCAGCACAGCTTTTTATAACTGTTGCCACAATGCTTGATGTATAAAAAAAGTGAGTTTCTTTTTATTACTTTATGTGCAGCCTGACTGCATAACAGTAGTAAATGAAGCGGGTCCAGTTGGGCTTTAATTCACCTTACACACCAACAGCTTTAGATTGTATTTGCTGTCTTAAACTGTTCTTGACAGTAAACACCGGATTCATAAGAATACATTTTTAACAGATCCTTAATAATATCCCATTTATAAGTAAACATCTTTGTAGTGTGCATACTGAAAATGTTTGCGGTTTGAACTATGCATGTTTGCTATAGTTTGTGTATCATTTTACTTATTAACATTGATCTTTTTATTTGTATTTCAGATATAAGTTGCTGGATGGCATCAGATTCAAGCTAAAATGTTCCTCAGATGAATTACCACTGGACATTAAGCCTTGATGCAAGGGGAAATGTATCTCAAAATATCCCCTTGCCCTTGAATTAGTGAAAAGCCATTTCACTTTCTTAAGTACATATATATCTTTTGCATTTTAAGTATCTATAACTTGGCTGATCTAATGAAACCAGTGTGTTCTCTGGAGGGTTTTCTCCAGGAGAACATTGTCTATTTAAAAAGCAAAGATGGACGTGTTTCATTCTGCAATATTCTAAATCTGAGCTTATCTTCGGATCATGACCAGTCTGAAAAGGTCCCAGACTGAGAGGTCTGTTGCTAGCGGGACTCTGTCGTCAGTGCCAGATGGACCACAAAAGGCTCGTTCAGATGATTTTTATATGAGACGTTTCAGATCACAGAATGGTAGTTTAGGTTCTTCTGCCATGTCTCCGGTTGGACCACCCCGCAGTGAAAGCTCCCACCACATATCTTCAACACCAGGTGTTCCTAAGATGGGAGTTAGAGCACGAATTGCAGACTGGCCTCCAAGAAAAGAGAATGTTAAGGAGATGAGCAGAGCTAGCCAAGATATGGAAACAAGCAGTTTAGACGCAGTGTCTGTTAAGAGCAGTCCTAGTAGTCAAGTGAGTACATCTAGTATGAACTCTAGTGATTCTGCTATGTTAAAAAGCATTCAGAACACTCTGAAAAACAAAACAAGGCAGGCAGAAAGTCTAAATTCTAGGTTTCTGTCCCCTGAAGGGTACTCCAGTTCCAGCTCCCCAAGAAAAGTTCATCGCAGAATAAGACAACGGAGTAACAGTGACATCACCATTAGTGAGTTTGATATGGACAATTTTGAAGAGTGCATGTCACCTACTTTTAAAACAGGGCCATCGCTCCACAGAGAATATGGAAGCACATCGTCAATAGACAAGCAAGGAACATCCAGTGAAAGTTTTTTTGATATTATTAAAGGATATAGAAATGAGAGAGCTGACCATCGTGGACATGGCCCATGCAAATTGAGTGAACTACTACTGAGCAGTGGAAATAGAGGATCTGGGTTCTCCCTGGACGTTATTGATGGGCAGAGAGATGGGCACAGGGCTTTTAAAGACCGGGACAAGCCGCTGAAAAGACGATCTAAGTCAGAAACTGGAGATTCTTCCATTTTTCGCAAGCTTAGAAATGCAAGAGCTGAAGGTGAGCTTGGAAAGGCTTTAGACATTGAGGACAGTCGTTCTGAAGATAGCCTCAAGCCATGGACGTGCCCTAAATGTTTTGCTCATTATGATGTTCAAAGTGTTTTGTTTGATTTAAATGAAGTTGTAATAAACAGGCATAATGTCATCAAACGGCGAAACACCACCACAGGGGCTTCCGCCGCTGCTGCAGCCTCTCTGGCTGCAGGACCATTGTCTCATTCCTCCAGTTTTAATTCTCCAACTGGTAGCACAGAAGATTTAAATACAAAGGAGAACGCTAATGTTGACCAAGGGGATGACAAAAGCAACGACTTAGTAATGAGCTGTCCCTATTTCCGCAATGAAACAGGAGGAGAAGGTGAAAAGAAGGTCAGCCTGACAAAGTCAAACTCTGGCTCATTTTCTGGGTGTGAAAATTCTTCTTTTGAATCAACTATGAGTTCACACTGTGCAAATGCAGGACTGGCAGTCCTTGAGGTCCCGAAGGAAAATCTGGTTCTACACATTGACAGAGCTAAGAGATACATTGTAGAACACATAGACCTTGGAGCATACTATTTTCGCAAGTATTTCTATCAAAAAGGTCAGTGCAGTTCATTTTGGTTGATTTTTCATGTACTGTGTAAATGCTAATTTTTGCTGCTTTCTGATATCTTCAGAAACAAATCACTTCTACTGTCGTGGTAAACAACCTGCTTTCCTATTTATAATGGTCTGGCCCTCTAGCAACTTCAGCGCAAAATTATAGCTAATTATAGCTGTTACTGTCCAGTGTGATCACAAAGAATAGTGCTTTCAGTATTTTCTGCGATCGCACTGGACTGGAACGCAGGCATTGATGTGCCACGTTCTGGTGGGGCCAATCACCCTGCAGGGGAAGGGTGGGGGCTGTGGCTGCAGTGCTATTGACTTGAATGCACCACCATGCCCACTCCCGCCCCAGAACGCAGGGAGGATTTTCTAATGCAATCCAGTGCGTTCTAGCAGCTTGATTAGACCTAAAACATTTAGTTAGCAATGACATTTATTTAGTTGCTAATTAAATTCTTTGTTTACACCTTGCTGCTGGCAGGCAGCTAGATTCCGCTGTTGGCAGCAGCATGTAAGCAATGAGGATCTATAGCCAGCCTGCTATTGACTATTTCAAATTGCAATAACCAATACCTGGCTGGCTATTGTACTGCCCACTGAGCAGAGGAGCGGACCTGAGAGAACTTTCGTTCTCAGGTCCACTCCTTTGCTCAGTGGGCGGGGTTTCAATAGCAAAGTATGCTATTTGCTATTTTAAATTGCAATCCCTTTTAGCTCCCAAGCAACCAGAAACTACAGTTATCTGACATCTAATCCCCGTGGGTGCCAGAAAACTGGGAGTTTACTGTAAATGCATGTGCATATCCTAAAAAGTGATTGGAATAATCACAGCTTTTCCACCAAATAAGTACATATTTTCTGTTATTTAACATTTATTTGCATGCTGTTTTGAACCGTAGTTTGTTACCCTCTTATTTAAAGTAAAGATTCCACTTCTTGAAAACAGAAAATTATGACACAGAAAATTATGACACAATGTCTGTGAATGTCTAGGATCTACAAATCCTCTTAAAGGAGAACTATGGGGTCAAGGCTTTTCCTACCAGGATCGAGAGGTGAGCGAATGCCGGTATTTGTTCGCTCACCTCCCGATCTACTGAGCCGACCTGTGACAGTCTCATTGTCACAGGTCGGCTAGAACTATGAGGTGAGTGAAAAGCACTCACCTCATAGTTCTCCTTTAACACCTAGGTTTAGTGAGTTGCACTTGTACTTCATTGGACCCTGTAGTTCGAGCCCAATAGCAAAGCCAGAGTAAGGAAAAACTTTTTTTTCTTTTTCTAAAAACACTGTGATCCTTGTGATTCTGTAAGACCTGAACACATTTAATTCTTGCAAGACTTCCGCTCCTTCTGATTTCTTGTTATGTCAGTAAGTTATGTGTTGGTAGTCTGTTAGTTGAGTAACATTCACAGCAAGCACTACCAGAATAAACTGTGGCACCAATGGACAGTTTTTCTTAAGAAATGAACTGAATCATCTAGGCCTCTTAAAAACAGGGAAAGAACAAAGTAATATTAGTGCTAAAATATCTAGCACTACTCAGCGACCAAAATACCGTGTCTCTGGGGGGGTATGGAAGGTATGCCAAGGGGGGGGGGGCACCTTCTGGACTTATGGGTGGCTTCCTTTTGAGGCAGTTACTTATTTACAGTTTTACCCCAGGCCGTTGCAGCTCAGCATTCTGGCAGCGTGGGATCACTGCATGATCACTTTACTGAGATACACGTTCACTTTAAAATAAATCCTCAACCCTCCTCCCTTGCACCCTAAGTAAACAGAGCTGTCCACTACCCTTTCCCCCACAGGTTATTACTTACCTCGGCTGCAGCCTGCCCATGCTCTTTGCAGCACGTCTGGTAAAAATGTATTCCCAGGCTGCTTCTGCCTACGCACTAACCTCCCATAGACTTGAGTGGGACGTTCCTGTATAATCAATGCACCATTTTAGTCTGTAGGATGGTAGTGCGTTGGGGTGGGCATTCCCACACTAAATTTTTATAC